TAGATTCTGCTCATTTCAATAACAAAGCTATTCTGACAACCGGTGTTGAGAATTGGATAGAATTCTACATAACCACCACCCCACAAACATGGGTTAACAGTGATGTTGATAACGATTTGCACAGGACATAATTGTTTCCAAATGAATTCAATATGTACTATCTCATAGACAAAGTCGATATATATAAAGGAGGCAAAGGATACCAGGCATCCATATAGAGCTTTACTCAACTTGAACAGATTCAAGCAGCTTTTTAATTAAACCTTGGTAATTTTCCCCTATTGGAGGCAGCTGGAAGTCTTGGACGACCCCCCCCCCTCCAAAAGCTTATCACATTTTTCAGCTTATCTCAATCCTATCACTTTTTCAGAGTTTACCTCTCTAAGTAAATATCCCTGATTTTTCTAGTCCATTTCTTTCTCTCTGATTTCTGATCTCTTAAAGCATTTATTGTCAGCATCCCATTATTTAATACTTGAATACATACTGCCATTATTATATAATATTTAAAAAGTTATGTTCCACATTGTTGGTTCCTGAGCGGTGTCCCGGGCTAATGTACAGTGTAGTAAAGTTCTTTATTTGAAGGGAACATAAGCCAACCCAATCATCTCCAAATTCTGTTTTCTTGCACCCACTGCCCTCATAAACCACTACTGCTCCAATGTTTCTCTTTTCAATGACCCAGCAAACACCTGTATAGTATCTCGTTATATGTATATACCACATTTTAATTATACATTCAATTGTTGATGGATATTTGAGTTGTTTCCACATTTTGGTTAGTATGAATAGTGCTGCAATGAATATAGAAGTGCTAATGTCTCCTTGAGGTCTTGTTTTTATTCCATTAGAAGTTGGATTGCCGGATCATATAGTAGTTCAGTTCTTACGTTTTTGAAGAACTTCCATACTATTTTCCATAGCAGCTGTGCCATTTTGGATTGCCATCAACAACATTCAAAAGTTCAAAAGTTCCTTTTCTCCACATTTTCGCCAACACTTCTTGTCTTTTAAAAAAATTATAGCCAGGCCAGGTGCGGTGACTTAGTCTGTAATCCCAGCACTTTGGGAGGCCGAGGCGGGTGGACCATGAGGCCAGGAGATCGAGACCACCCTGACTAACATTGTGAAACCTTGTCTCTACTAAAATTACAAAAAATTAGCCAGGCATGGTGGTAGGCGCCTGTAGTCCCAGCTACTCGGGAGGCTGAGGAGGCTGAGGCAGGAGAATGGCGTGAACCCGGGAGGCAGAGCTTGCAGTGAGCTGAGATCATGCTACTGCACTCCAGCCTGGGTGACAGAGCAAGACTCCATCTAAAAAAAAAAAAAAAAAAAATTATAGCCATTCCACCAGGTGTCAGGTGATATCTTATTGTGGTTTTGATTTCCTTTCCCTGATGATTAGTGACATTGATCATTTCTTCATCTATCTATTGGCCATTTGTATGTCTTTTTTAGACAATATCTATGTGAGTCTTTAGCGCATTTAAAAACTGAGTTATTATGTTTTTTAAACCACTGAGTTGTAGCAGTTCCTTAGATATTTTGGAAATTAACCATTATACATTGAGTTGTAGGAGTTCCTTAGATATTTTGGAAATTAATCAACATAAGATACATAGTTTGCAAATATTTTTCTCCCTTTCTGTAGGTTACCTTTTCACTGTGTTGCAATAAACTATTACTCTTCAATAAAAATGAATGAACTTTGAAGGATGAGGTCTACTTGGCTTGGCTGGGATAAAAAGAAAGACTAATCTTAGGGGCCTGCCTTCTGCCAGATGCAGTGCCGTTACCCCACTATTTTAAAAAAATAGTTATTTTTTTTATAGTAAAGGTTCTTTGTCTTACAAAAAATAAATGAACTACTGAAACACTATAAAACCTGAATTAATCTCAAAAATATCATGTTGAGTGAAAGAATACAGACACATATGAGGATATGTTTTATGATTCCACTAATATGAAATTTCAGAATAGGCAAAACAAACCTACAGTAGCAGGAAACACATCAATGATTTCTTGAGGCTAGAACTTCAATGTGCTTGAGAGGCCATAGTGGGTTGATTGAAGTGTTTTATATTACATTTGGGCTGATGATAGCTTAGGCATATACATTTGTCAAAACTCATTTTGTTATACACTTAAAATGGGTGCATTTAATTATATTTAAATTATGTACTCTAATGAATTTAAACCTTTGAAAAAAGGTGCTAAACATTAAGAATAAAATAGTCTTCTAGGTTTTGCCACTGTGTGTCCCCTGCCTTATAGAATAGTCCCTTGAACTGTTAGGTTGGTGCAAAAGAGTTGTGATTTTTGCTATCAAAGGTAATGGCAAAAGCAATTACCTTTGCACCAACCTAATACTGTTCTCCTACTTCATCCTGATTTTCTGTTGCAAGAGTCCAAGCACTTAAGTGGTTAAGAAAGAGTTTCTTGAATGTTAGGAAAGGAAATAGGCAAGACACACTTGACTAAGCTGGAATTATCTCTTGCTGTAAGATGTAAGCAGAATGGCAGGAAAACTCACATATCATTTTCATTGTGTCATAGCTGTAATGCTTTTACTGATTACTCGATGTATGAATTAGATCTAGCTTCTTTTTCAAGAACCTTACAGTACTATTGGCATATATACACCATGGAATACTATGCAGCCATAAAAAAGGATGAGTTCACATCCTTTGTAGGGACATGGATGAAGCTGGAAACCATCATTCTCAGCAAACTATCGCAAGAACACAAAACCAAACACTGCATGTTCTCACTCATAGGTGGGAATTGAACAATGAGAACACTTGGACACAGGAAGGGGAACATCACACACTGGGGCCTGTCGTGGGTTGGGGGGAGGGGGAAGGGGAGGGATAGCATTAGGAGATATAGCTAATGTAAATGACGAGTTAATGGGTACAGCACACCAACATGGCACATGTATGCATATGTAACAGACCTGCATGTTGTGCACATGTACCCTAGAACTTAAAGTATAATAAAAAAAAAAAGAAGGAAAAGTCATGTGGAAAGTGTCACTACAAAAGAAGTATGGAGTGTTATGTAAGTTCATGTGTATTTCTGACAGAGTTTTGACACAGCATTGTGCTCAAGGTCAGCCTTATTTCTTAAAATAAATTTTCAAAAAAGAACAAGGATAATTGCTTATATTTCTACTATTTAATGAAAGGGCAAATCCCAAATTTTAAGAATAGAAAGTGCTCAATAAATTTATAATTGCTTGATAAGCTTTTAAATTAGTGTTAGGTTTGGCAGAATCCTCTGAACAAAAAACCCAAATAATCATGACATTAGGAAGACACAGGTTCCCTTTTTCTCTCTCCTATAAGAGGTCTTGAGATGGGGAGTCCAGGACTCCACGTTCACTTTCTCATCCTTGGTGTCACTCATGCATCTTCAAAATACAGGGTGGCTGCTAGGGTGTTACTGTCTATCATGCACTTGTTTCAGTGAGAAAGAAAAATGTGGTTAGTGGTGGAGAGGGCCACAAATGAACACCCTGCCCGGGAAACTGGCTGCCTTTAAAGAACAATCCCAGAAGCCCCCCTCAATTATTTCCATCCACTTAAGTCTCAGTCGCAGAAACTTGCAGAAAGACTAGTGCTATGGTTTAAATGTGCCCCCCAAAAAGTGTGTATTAAAAACTCAATCACCAATGCAACAGCATTGGAGGCAGGGCCCAATGGGAGGTGTTTTCATGAGGGCTTCACCCTCATGAATGGGTTAAGGACAATTATGAAAGGGCTTGAGGCTGCAAGTTTGATCTCCTGCTCTCTCTTGTGCATGCTTTCCTGCTCTTCCTCCTTTATCCACAGGATGATGCCAAGAAGGCCCTCTCCAGATACTAAGCAGATACTGGCACCATTCCCATTGACTTCCCAGGCTCAAGAACCATGAGTCAAATAAATTTATTTTCTTTATTAATTACCTAGTCTGTGGTATTCTGTTATAGCAACACAAAACAGACTAAGACAACTAGGAAATATAATCTCTTAGCTGGGCATGTTGCCTCCTTGGATAAAATGAGATTCTGTCAATAAGAAAGAGGAGAGGATATGCAAACTAAGTGGCCAACTAGCAATTCTCATCACAATCTGTTTTTTTCAGTAATCTCAGATGGTGAGGGCTAATGTGGCTGTTGTCAACCACAATAGGTAATTTATGTGTATCCTTTCTTCTACTCTGTGTGCTGTGTGGGGGAAATTGTTAATTCATTTTTTAGGCCCCCAAAACTGGCCATATCAAAGAAGAACTCTGTTCAAATAAAGCTGCCAAATAAATACTTATGTCTCCCAACTGTTTGTCTTTTTATAAAGTCCTTATAAATTTGATAATCCCCTGCTCAGGTTATGGGTTATACCAATGGATTCCTTTTTTTTTTTTCTGGAGACAAAGTTTCACTTCATTGCCCAGACTGGACTGCAGTGGCACAGTGGCATCACCTGGGCTCACTGCAACTTCCGCCTCCCAGGTTCAAGTGATTCTACTGCCTCAGCCTCCCAAGTAGCTGGGATTACAGGTACCCACCACCACGCCTGGCTAATTTTTGTATTTTTAGTAGAGATGGGGTTTCACCATGTTGGCCAGGCTGGTCTTGAACTCCTGACCTCAGGTGACCTGCCTGCCTCAGTCTCCCTAAGTGCTGGGATTACAAGTGTGAGCCACTGCATCCAGCAGATTTCCTTCTTATAGGATAAAATAACCCTATTAATTGTGGCAAATGCTGAAGTTTTTTAGGTTCCACACGTACTTCTCTTCTGTAGTGTTGAGATTTTTCTTGGCACATAGGAGAAACAACTTTCATGAAGTGCCAAAACAAACAAACCAACAAAAAAACAGAGACTGAGAAGTATCTCTACTAAAGCAATGTCATGGGATATTATGGATAATGCAAAGGTAAACTGATTAGAAATCGGCATCCATAATTTTAAACGAAATGGTCAATGTCAAAGTAGAAAGTTGGTCATGCTAGGAGTTACCTGAGAAAAGTGTGTATGCATCAGACTGGTCCTCTTCCCAAAGTTCAAAATGGGCTAATTATCCTACAAAACAAAATAGAAAAATGCAGTTTACTGTAATTTACAAGCACTAGCTGGTGCCAAATGGCTAGAGATAATAATTAATATTAGCTGCCAAGGTCTCAGCAATACTAAGAAAATTGAATTATTACTTTATTGGTCTCTCAAATAGGATGATAGGATATTTTTCTAAATCTTTTTGATCCATGGTAGGAAGCATGTTGTTCCATTTGAAAGCACTGCTATTATCAACAATAATGGAAAGGACAGTAAATGGCACCCAGACCTAGGGCATCTCATCATGACACAATTTTTCACTACATCAGCTCTGTGGCAGGTGCTATGCTGAATGAAGTTTAAGTATGGTTTCTGCCCTGTGGCCCAGATCCATTTTGCAGTCATTACTCTGTTTTTCGGGACTAAATGGCTGATTGTGTAGTTAGGTTCTTGCCAGTGCATTTATCTACAGCAGCAGCATCCATTTTCGTGATGAGTGGTATGTACAAAATTGAACAGGAAGAGGAAAAATAAATGAATCACAAAGCCTGTTAGAGGCCCTTGAACATTTGGCCCAAGTGCTAGTAAATGCTAAAGGGGAACATATTTACTGTAGTAGAGATAGATTAAATGGATTAAATTGGTAGATAATTGGGAAAGGTATGTGGGAAAATTGAATGAGTATAATGGGTAAATAGCATAGTACAAATGGAACAAGTTTCTGATATCTAAATTGGGCACAGCCAAGGCCAGTGCTTACATCACCCAGATGAAGAGACTGCAATTTGCTGAGGCTATAGTGTTTTAGCCCGCCACAAACATTTGATTTGACACATTTTAAACTCAGCAGTGCCTTTCAGAAGAAATACTTTAATTAGGCAGAGAAAAGGGATACAGTGCAAGATAATGGGTCTATGAGAAGGCCCACAGACCATAGACTCATCTATTCATCTCAGGGGAGAGATACAGAAGAAGGTGGAGTCTGTGGACATACCATTAGCATTATGGAATGCTATGATTAGCATCTTGCATAAGTAGGCAGAATTTTTTTTAGCTTTTTTTCATAGCTGTTTGTTTTTGCATTCATTCCTTCATTAATTCATTCATTTCTTCATTAATTAATTCATTCAACAATTATTTCCTAAGTGCTTCCCACATATAAAATGCTGAAAAATAAACAAAAAACATTTTTTATTAAAGTTATGGTCAGTGTTTGAAGGGTCAAGACATTTATACTTGGAAATATAAAATATAAAGAGCATGCATTTTGCAGGAAATGGGGTGACAAATGGCAGCTAGGTCATTGGTAATGGTCATTTCTTGAGTCTTTCTTCCTAGGAAGTGTTTTCAAATATCCTCTGAGGAATGAAACAAAGCATAGGATCTTAAGATTAAGAATTACAACCATCAGCTTTCCTTCTTTGTGGTTCATTAACACCTGCTGAACAGTTTTTTTTCCGATTATGTGGCTGACAAAGTAATGATGACTTCATTGTATATTCCTTATGTTTTAGCACTACTGGACTTTTCTTATTTTCAAAAGGTTATCTCCAGTGGAACTGGCTTTTACTTGAGTGAATATTCTGATTATCGGAGCATTTTGATACATAAATTTGAATTTACTATAATACAGTTAGCAATAAAACTATCCCAGAAATGATATAATCTGATTTGAATTATTAGATACTTCAGGAATTTCCAAAATAATACAAGAAACACAAAACCACTAGATCAACCTAGTAATTATGATGCAGGACTACATATGTGGAAGCTGTGAAAAGTGGAGCTAAGCCTATACTAAACCTAGAAGATACCCCTAGATATTATTTTAAAATGAATCTCTGATATTAGCTTATGTTTTGACTCTTTTTCATGGAAACAGAACACAAAAAATATAGAAAAGAAAAGAACATAAGAAGCAAAAGCCAGGTAAATGAGGAACAGTGATACTGATGCATTAGATACATCAAGAAAAATTGTGCCAGGATGTTGTAGATATAAGCTTTATCAAAACTTAAAAGCAAAGGAAGGTCTTGTTTCTTTCTTGTCTCTAAACACTACTTTGAACCGTGTCAGCTCTCCCCCAGGCTCTTGCCCTAAGCAATATTATCATTGCCCACAAAGTGGCATCTTCTCCTTTTTTTCCAGCCTTTTTCATAACAGCAGAATAACAGTCCTCTCTTCCTCTATCCTTGGTGTAGTCAGTATAGGGGTTGATCCAAGGACTGATCAAAAAGAGAATGAAGCCATACCAGAAAAACTATTCTCCTTGCCTAGTAGCCTAAGCTATGGTGGCTGCTCAGAGAACTCACTTCTTTGTGCAAAGTATGGATGAAGTTGCTACCATCCTAAATTATAGATTTTAAAGTTTGAGTTTTAGTAATAGGGGCATATTGTAAATTCTAGGAGTGGCTGAAACATTTCGTAAATTTGCAATGTCAAATAGTGTTTAAAAATTTTGTATTTTTAAAATTATCATACGGTAAAATGTACTTTTTTGGTGTACAATATTACAATTTTAACACATATAGATTTGTATAATCACTACTGTAATCAGGATATAGAACAGTTTAAACAACCCTACAGAAGTGTCCCCATGTTATCCCTTTATCATTACACTCTCTCCCAATCCATGACCAATGGCAACCACTGATTTCCATCACTATAGTTTTGTCTTTTTGATAATTTTCTTTTTTTGAGATGGAGTCTCACTCTGTCTCCCAGGCTGGAGTGCAGTGGTACGATCTTGGCTCACTGCAACCTCCACCTCCTGGGTTCAAGCGATTCTCCTACCTCAGCCTCCCAAGTAGCTGGGATTACAGGTGTGCACTGCCACACCCAGCTAATTTTTGTATTTTTAGTAGAGACAGGTTTTCACTGTGTTACCCAGGCTCACTTCTAACTCCTGGGCTCAAGTGGTCCTCCTGCCTTGGCCTCCCAGAGTACTGGGATTACAGACATTGGCCACTGCAAATGTAACATAAAATTAGTGAGAATATAGTACAAATAAAATCAAAGAGTATATACACTTTTGAGACTGGCTTCTTTCACTTAACACTATGTCTTCAAGATTCATTCATTTTGTTGCATGTATCAGCAGTTGATCCATTTTAATTGTGAGTAGTATTCCATTATAAGGATGCACCACTTCATACTATCCATTCACTTGTTGAAGATTTGGGTTGCTTTCAGTTTTTGGCTATTACATATAAAGCTGCTACAATTATGTACAAATTTTTGTGTGAACTTAATTTCTATTTGTCCAGGAATATGATTGCTGTGTTAGATAGTCAGTGCATGCTTAACTGCCAAACTCTTTTTTCCAGAGTGAGTATGCCAGTATGTATCAGCAATGTATGAGAGTTTTGGTTTTCTTGCACTTTGCTAGCACTTGGTATTATCAGTATCTTTTATTTTAGCCATTCTAATAAGTGTGTAGTGTCATCTCATTGTGATTGTAATTTGCATTTCCCTAATGGTCAGTAATGTTGTATGTTTTTTCAAGTGCTTAACTGCCATCCTTACATCCTCTTTGGTCCTTTACCTACTTTTAAATTGGGTTGTTATTTATTTATTTTTAAATTGACAATAATTGTGTTTAATTATTGGGTGCAATGTGATGTAATTATACATGTATATATTACAGAATGTTTAAATCAGGCTAATTAACATACCTATCACCTCACATACTTATGCTTTTTTTTGGTGAAAATATTTAAAATGGAGCAATTTTGAAATATATATGTAATTATTAACTATAGTTAGCATCCTGTGCCATAGAACACCAAAATTTAATCATCCTAACTGAAATTTTGTACCCTTTGACTGATATCTCCCCTTTCCTGACCATCTCCCACCCTCAGCCTCTGTAACCACCATCCTACTCTCTACTTCTATGAGTTTGAATGTTTAGGTCCCACAAATAAGTGAGATAATGCAGTATTTGCTGAATTTTGAGTTCCTTATATTCTTAATACGAGTCCTTTGTCATTTTTGTGATTTGAAAATATTTTATTGCAGTCTGTAGTTTTATTCTCTTGACAGTGATTTTTGGCAGAGTAACAGTTTTAAAATTTGATGAAGTCCAATTTATCAATTTATATATATATATTTTTTTTTTTTTTTTAGACGGAGTCTCACTCTGTCGCCCAGGCTGGAGTGCAGTGGCTGGTTCTCGGCTCACTGCAAGCTCCACCTGCCGGGTTCACGCCATTCTCCTGCCTCAGCCTCCCGAGTAGCTGGGACTACAGGCGCCCGCCACCTCGCCCGGCTAGTTTTTTGTATTTTTTAGTAGAGACGGGGTTTCACCGTGTTAGCCAGGATGGTCTCGATCTCCTGACCTCGTGATCCGCCCGTCTCGGCCTCCCAAAGTGCTGGGATTACAGGCTTGAGCCACCGCGCCCGGCCTATATTTTTATGGACTGTGTTTTTTGTTTCATTTCTAAGAACTTTTTGCCTAACTGCAATCCATGAATATTTACTCCTATTTTTTTAGAAGTTTTATAATTTTACATTTAAATATTTGTTCATTTTGAGTTAATCTGTGTATAAAGTATAAAATTTAGGTATAGGTTCAATTTTTGCATATGGTACAATTTTTCTAACAACATATCTAAATTATCCTGTCTCATTGAATTGCTTTTATACCTTTGTCAAAATCAAATTGTCATATTTGTGTAGATCTATTCCTGAACTCTCTATTATTCTGTGCATTAATCCACATGTCTATCCCTTCATCAAGACCACATTCTGTTGATTACTATAGCTTTATAGTAAGTCTTAATATTGGATAGTGTGATTTGGACAATCTTGTTTCCTTTTTCAATTTTTTTCTAGTTTTTTTCTAGTTTATCTGCCTTTCAATATACATTTGAGAATCAGTCTGTCTATACCTATATAAAATTCTCCTGGGATTTTGGTAGGAATTGCATTAAATCTATAAGTCACTTTGGGAACAACTGACTATGTTAGGCTTCCTAATCCATAAACATGGTATACCTTGAAGTCAAAGGTCTTCTTTGATTTCTGTAATCAACATTTTCTGTTTAACATGCAAGCCCTGACCATATTTTTAAGAACCTGTATCTAAGTTTTTAATATTTTGATCTGATTATAAATGGTAACATATTTAATTTTTGTTTTTTAATTGTTTACTGATTGTATATAAAAATAGAATTGATTTTTGTGTGTTGACCCCATAACACATAACCTTGCTAAATGCACTTAATGGTAGATGGAAAATTTTTAAAGATACTGTTATGAATTAGCATAAGATGCGTTGAGAAAAAGAACAAGAGGGGGAATTTGTTCAGAGTAGTCCACGTCCTCAATAGAGGAATCTCACTGAGTGTTCTTTATACACAAAAAATTGCAAATCTCAAAAGGGACGGGCTTTTCTAAGCAATAAATGTCTTTTCCCCTCTTTCCAAGTTTTCCTTCTGTTTCTCTCCTATCCAATAAATTTTATTATATAATTGTCAGTCATTTTTACATGTAAATATTGGAATTGTGTAAGATTTTTTTTCTTTGCCCAAGAATGTATCACATGGGTTTATACTTGATTCATTCCATCAATAAAAAGAGTATGGTTCAAGGATAATTTGGGGTGGTTGCACCCCTCTGTTTAAGTTATTCATAGCTTCTTTTTCCCAGGTTGTTATATGTTAATTGTTCTATTCTGTCTTTCATCTAGAAAAAGATTTAGTTTAATAATATCATACCTGTTTTATTATTTAAGAGTACATCACTTAGTTTGATGAGACAGGAGTTTATAGTTTGTAAAGGTATAACCCTATGATGCCATTTAGTTTCTTGCCCCAATTTCTAGCAGCTTGGGATAATGTATCTATTACATTAAAATAGCTACACACCTTTCTCCCTCCCTCCCTACGTCGCTCCCTCGGTCCCTCCCTACGTCCCTCCCTCGGTCCCTCCCTCCCTTCCTTCCTTTTTTCCTTCCTTCCACCATCTTTCCCTCCCTCCCTCTCTCTTTTCTTTTTTTTTTTTTTGCTGAAAAATCTCCAGAAAAAAACTCTCATTCTTGAGTGATGCATTCCATTGTCTGAAGACTCAGTAAAAGAAGAAAACAGATGGTTATTTTTCTCCAACATTAGCTTTGCAAAAAGAATGCCAGTGGTGTTTGCACCAGCAGCAAAGTCAACTAACCCTCAATTATCTATTGTGGCCTTTTATTGGGCTCAGCAAAGCACACTGCACATTAAGGTGGCCATTTAATAAAACTTAAACTACACAGATATTTCTAAAACAAAATGAAACAAAATAAACAAATCAGCAGAGCACTGCTAGATGTAATTGGTAAATTCAGATAAAATTAACATGTGCAATCAAAGTGAAATTAAACATTTTAATTTTATCAAATTTTGTAGAAGCACTCAATTCTGGAAAATATATATATTTTTCTCTCAGAATATAAAGAATACTAACTTACCTTTGCATAAATGGATTTTTTAACATACCACTACATTATGTGTATTCTATGCCCTTCACAATTGTTCCTTTTTTGTTATAGGTCTTATCTGAGTGAATATTCTCTATCACCATCATATATTTGAAATTAGAAAACCAAACCACGCCCCAACCCCAACCTCACCCAACAATAATGCCCTGTTATTGGACAGATTTTTATATTTAACGAATATTTGAAAATGTCAGACACGATGAAACAAAACTGATTTGAGTCTATTTCAAGCGTCAAGTCAATATTCAATGAGAAGTGATAATTAGATATCGGACTTAAGCGTAACTATTAGTCACTAGCAACCTGTCCATATTTCTTTTTTTCTTTTGCTAGTTAGATAATTTTAACATCTAACACCACCAGCAGCATGGATATGCTTAATTAAATTCCATTAATGCAAAAACATTATTTAGCACCAACTGTGTACTTGGCACTATTTTGTGATCATCATTCCTCAAAGATGAAGAATTATTTCTCTCTTCAAGGAGCATACATGAGCGTACAAGTGATAAAACACATAACCAAATAAATATTGTGTATGTAAAATAAATTCTAGTTTACAGTTATTGAACCTATTATTTGTTGGTCACTATACTATGTTTCATGTATTTCAAGTTATTCAATGTCATAAAGAGTTTACGTGGTAGAGATTATTAATACGTAAAATTTTTCACATGAGGAACTTGCTCAGGAAAATAAATAACTTGCCCACAGTCATACAGCTAGAAGAACAGAAATTCTACCCCATGATGTCTGACATCTTTGTTCTTGACCTGACACTTTAAGCATGAACCTTTTACCTATCAACCCTTTTATGGTTTGTAAAGGCATAACCCAGTAATGCTTAATGAAACACCACAAATGTAGTTATGTGTGATAGGGTATCAGTCATTGTGTAGGAGTTTAAAAGTTGTCATTATTAATCTCCTTGAATCTATGGATTTTTGTAGTTCTTTCTAAAATTCTACCTCATGACAACTTTGTCCTCAGAAAGAAGTTAGTAGTTTCTTCCAACCTGCCACTACAACTGCAGTTTTGAATAAAATGTTTATTGCCATTTTCTTCTATTTCAATTTCACCTTTAACTAAAGAGTTATATAGAAGTGCATTTTGGGTTTGTAAATATATTAATAAATTACCTTTTATTGTTCATCTTAATTACACTGTCAAGTATAGTCTTTATTATACAGATGATTTGACATTTGAGAGATTTATTTTGTGGCTTAGTTTGTCATCAATTTTTATAAGATTTCCTCATGAATGGGAAAAATTATTGTGATAATGGGGTGCAATACTCTAAAGATAAAGATGTATATGTCTTATTAATTTTTAATTTAAATCTTCTATAGTACAAGTGTTTTTTGTCTGATAGAGGACTTAAAATATCCTACCCTAATATTGTAAATTTGTTAATTGCTCCTTATTATTCTGTCAGTTTCTATCCAATTAATATTGAGACCTTATCATTTGTAGCAAATAAGCTCATATGTGTTAGAACTCCTTGGTGACATAGTTATTTTATTATTGTAAAGTATTCCTCTTGATCTTTACTAATTTTGCCTTAAATTCTACCTTATCTCCCATTATTTTGCCACAATAGCTATTTTCCATACCTTTGTTTTCAGCATTTCTGAAATATAAGCAGAATTTAGCTGCATTTTAATCTGCCTATATTTTTGGGGGGCATTTTATTTGTATATTTTCCCTATCATTGCTATTTGTTGGGAGCAGAAGATCTGCATCAGAGGGCTAACTTTCAGCTCTACTTGGCTAGAAGTCTTCTGTTGGGCTTTTGATGGTAGCTGGAAGTCAAGTATTCTATGTTACGCATCCCCAAAGAGTTGGTATTCTATGTTACTGGCCCCCAGTGTGCTGATATTCCATGTTACTTACCCCCAGAAAACTAGTGTTCAGTGTTATTGACCCCTAGAATCCTGGTATGCCATTATTGCCCTTTAGTCTGTTGATATTCCATGTTATACATCCCTAGAGCACTGGCCATTCATGTTACCCAACCCCAGAGCACTGGCCTTCCACGTTACCAGTCCCAATGACATTGGCAACCACAAGGTCTCGTGGTGCAGTTGAACAAAAGGTTATCCTACCACTTCATGGCACTGGATTTGTAGATGTCCCTGTAGAGAGAACCAGGGCTTTCCTGAAAATTTAGGGAGTTTGATTTGTAAAGTATGGCTGACAGAATGTAGCCAGTACTTTTTTTTTTCTAATAAATAGGAGAAAAACCAGTCACCTAGAATGAGGGAAAAATCATAACTGTACATGTCACCAAATGTAATTTTTTCAAAAGTCAAGGATAATGCAACCTGGAAACAAACACAGAATTAACTTATTTAGAGAAAGCAAATGTACCAACAGAGAAAACAAATGAATTGTAACCAGGAATGACTTACCTTACAAGACAATTTAAGATCACTTAAGGAACCTATGCCTGGGTGCTTTTCTCAGGAAGAACCGAAAATAAATGTTAGCGGTCTCCATAAAAGTTCTGTTTCATGGTTTGGCATCTTGGGAATTTACCCTGATGCCTGTGTGAGAGAAACTGTCCAACCCTATTAATCATTTCTCCTCAACCTAGTTTGCAATGATTACATTTTTAATATTTAAGGAAGTCTTCTTTCTAATTATAGCCTCCTGGCTTGATTGATGCAGAAGCATGGAAGTAAATCAAGTCAGCATGGTAACTCCATCCCAGGGCATGCTTAACCAAAAGTATCTTGTGAAGAACTCAATGTTCTCTTCTGTCTAACGTGCAACAGAATATGTGAAGTGGAACAACTGTTAATGAGCAGAAAAGTTTATTAAATACGAGTACTGTTTTAAATACGAAAGTGGATCTAGGAGTATTAGGTTTCCAATGTTAATATCCATGTAAGTACTGGTATGAAAGTATTTCTAGGTCAAATTAGTCCATGCAGCATACTTTGTGATGTTTTAAAGATCAGTGTACATGCCAGTAAACAAAACAGCAGAAAAGACAAGGCACAGTTCTGTAATGATTCTAAATTGTCTAAACTGGATGATGTTTGTTACTCATTCTAGTATCTTTTAAATCGAAATATTGAGGGCAATGTAATGACATCCTCACATCAATGACTTCCTAGCTATGTGGTCTTTTTCTATATCAGCAAGGGAAATCTCATTTTATCTAAACCAGTGAGTCTTGATGTGCCTCAAATTTACTTACATTACAAATCAGGTAAAATTAGGAAAATGTAGTAAGTTTTTGATTTCTAAATCACTTCCTTGTTTATATATTCAGGTTATATATATTTCTTACTTTTGGGGTGTTCAAAATAATTTTGAAACATAGTAAAATGAAGACAGTACTTGGAAATTTTTAATGTGCTTTCTTAGTGTAAACAATAACTTATGAAACTCTGCATAATTTTTTTTTCTAATTTTTGGGTATTGTGAAATTTAAAACCCTGGAATCATTGACTCAAGTCATTCTTTGGCAACAAAACTAGTTATTTCAGAGAGTAAGCAGATTAAGTGGTATTTTTAAGACTGGAAATAGTATTTCCAACATTCTTACGGAATAAAAAGTGGCATTTGATTAAAGTACACTTTATTTGAGTACACTGAAAGTGTTTTGTAGCTCTCCCCTCATCTACCCACTAGTTGTGCTCAAACAAAAAAGGGGCAGATAAACGGGCCTAAAAGGAATTGAAGCCAAAGCAAGACACTTATGTCTTCAGAAAAAAATCAGTATTACATCATTTCCAAGGCAGTAAAAATGGAAGACTTTGAAGTGGCTGTGCCCTCAAGCATTTCTTCGGCTTGCTTACACCATGGGTAGTCTCTCTGAGATGATTCAGTTTGCCTTATGAGAAAAACATGTATGAAAAATTTGAGACACTTGTCCAAGTTGACAATTCACTCTCTTTGGAGGAATCAAGAAGTAAAACTCTTTAGCCAATATGAGGAGACACACACACACACACACACACACACACACACTTCACATTTTTAATTTTAAATGCAAATATACTATAAATGAATGAGCACATACATAGGCACATCACACACATTGATTCTTTTTTAAATTTGGATTTCTTTGCACATGTTGGCAAAATCCTTCACCTACCGGGGCTAAGAAACAACATCTTAGCTTTGGTGCTGGTCCTGATTTGGGCCATCCTCTGCATCCTGCTGGTCCTCACTGGGCTGGTTTTCCTATAATAGTAATGTCTCTTCTATGAGGATGCTGATGACTGGAGCTTTTCAAGTCAATGTTTTTAGACTTGCTACCATGGCTGCTCTAGTTATGACTACTTTTTATCATTCATCTTCTTTGTGCATGTCATATGTTTGTATATTTGGATAGTTTGAAAAAGATGTATAATCATCTTTTTGTCAGATAGCTTTTACACGTGGTGATCAATGCTGTGATTTGCTAAACAGTTTTCTCTTCTCCAGCTGTACTGGGAATCTGTTTCCCTAGACTACACTTTCTCTTGGGCATCTTGGATTCCAAGTCAAGAAGAGTAAGATCTCCCTGTCCTTTAAAACATGGTGCCCTCACTGGGTTCTTTTTTTTTTTTTTTTTTTTTTTTTTGGAGACAGAGTCTCACTTTGTTGCCTGGGCTGGAGTGCAGTGGTGCAATCTTGGCTTACTGCAACCTCTGTCTCCCAGGTTCAAGTGATACTCATGCCTCACCCTCCTGAGTAGCTGGGATTGCAGGTGTGTGCCATCATCACCAGGATTTTTTTTTTTTTTTTTGGTAGAGACAGGTTTTCACCATGTTGGCCAGGCTAGTCTCAAATTCCTGACCTCAAGTGATCTGCTTGCCTTGGCTTCCCAAAGTGCTGGGATTACAGGCATGAGCCACTGTGCCCAGCCTCCGTTACCTTTTAAGAGACCTCCCTGACCACTCATGATTCCTCTGTTAACACCAGCTACATATATTGGTAACTGCAAAGACTATACTGTATGTTATCTCATGGATTGTTTTCTAGATTCTAAGGTCTTTATGATTCCTCTAGGAACTGATAGTTATTTGCCGCTGTGATTTGAGAAGAGGTAGATTGTGGTAAACCTCTTCCAAATTAATTGTTTTCTAGGAAAGAACAGATCTCCCTAGCATCATGTTTGTACTATTTCCTCTTTAACTATATCAGTCCTTCATCCCATGGAGCTTCTGTGCAAGAGCTGTGACTTATATTCTAATTCTCTATCCTAGGATAAAAGCCTTTCTCTGCACTTTTAACTCTTTACTATTGTACTTGCCACTGACACGATCTTCAGAATTTTTTTTTCATGTTTGAAGACACTTGCTTATATTTGCCTTTTTTCCTTTTTATTTGTCCAAATTTATGGGGTACAAATCTATGCATTGTATTACATGCATAGATTGTGCAGTGATCAAGTCAGGGCTTTTACGGTGTACATCATACCCATTAACCAATTTCTCATCATCCTCCCCTCTCCCACGCTCTTACCCTTCTGAGTTTCCATTATCTATCATTCCACTGTTTACATACATATGAACACATTTTACACCATGCTCTTATGAGTGAGAACATGTGATATTTGTCTTTCTGTGTCTGGCTTGTTTCACTTAAGATAATGACCTTCACTTCCACCCACGTTTTGAAGGGGTCCTAAGAGCTTGTAAGTGTATTTCCTACAGCTGACAATAAAAAAGATTAAACAATTATCACATGAAAGAACTTTTAAGGACTCATGTATGTAAATTTAAGGAACAGGAACATTAGGATGACCTTAAGATATGTTTACACATGGAAGTGTCCAAGCCTATAATACTTTATTATTTTAGCATTTACAGAGTACTTTTGCTAGGTACTTTGCTAACTTCTTGAGATTTGATGGTGAAATAGACATAGCTTTTGTCTTAAAGGAGGCTCAAAGGTTTGCCGAAGCTCCAAACCTCTGGAAAATAGACACTTTAAAACACAGGACCTAGATATAGTTAAACATAGGCAGTTAATATCTCATGGATGAGAAACATAAATAGGTCATTCAATATGATCTCATTTACTTTCTCCATACGTACACTACAGGTAGTTATCTTAGATAACTATAGCTGTTCTACAGTTAGAAATTATGAAGCCAATAAAAATGCTTTAATTGCTGTTCTTTTGCATTTCATCTCAAAGCAACTTTAACTTGAACTCTTCAAGTGAGATTTCTTGTGGCGATACACCTGAGAAGAACTTGTGCACTGTGAACTTCCTCACGTTCATGCCTATTACTTGGTTGGCACCCCACGCTGAACTAGAAGGAGCCAATACAAGAAGCTCAGCATCCCTGGCACCCTACTGTTAAGTCCACGGGCCAGTCTGCAGGGGATGGAGAGTTTAGATTTAAATCAACCCAGCACAGGGCGTGGGGCCAGGGGAACAGAAGTAGTCCACATCAGCCATAGCAGTCTTCTGGCCGCCTGTGGCCCAGCCCTGAAAGCTTTTACCCAGTAAATTTTTTAAGCTTTCATTTTAGCTGCCTAGACAGATGTTCCAAATTTCTATCTGCTTCATTTAGTGCAAGAACCAGGTAATGAGGAAGAGGCCAGTTCCAGTAAATGATCCCCAAGGCTACAGTTCTTTCTATTTGGGCAAATAGATGATAAAACCTGTACAGCATTCCACGAATGCTCAAAGTCAGTTTCTTCAGTGGAAATACACTTCAAATAACAAATGTTACAGCAATTGGCAGGGGTCTGCCTCACAGGAGGGTGGCACCTTTTATTTAAAAAGGCTTGTTTTTGTGAAAAACAAGAGGGGCCTCATTTATGAATGCAAATGATGCCTTGCTTTTGTTTTACAAAATATTGAGAGATGGTATTAGATAGTATGATTGAATATCTGGCACACAACATGCACTTGCGCATGCACACACACGCACACACACACAAGCCCACGGCCAACCAATGTATTTGTAAGCAAGTCAGAGACATACATTTTATACACTAGGATATTCAGTGCTTTAAGTTTATGGAGATTGATGAAAAATATAAGTCATCCCCAAGTGAGGGAGTTTTCATAATTGATGGTTTTGGACTTCAGAGACCAAAATTGATCTTCTGATCCTTTGGTTGCTCAGGGTGGATGGGTAAATCACGCTCTGCTTTTATCTGACATTTGATACTGCCTTTACATATGACCTATCCCTGAGTGCTGGGACCTTGTGTCTTCCTACAAGTGCAAAATATGTACTCCTTGCAGGTTAAAATCAAGACCTTGGCTTCATTTTGGAAACAGCATGCACAAACCAATTATTTTAATGTTTCATATTTTCCACTTACGGTGATTATAACCTGTTTGGAACTTTGTTTTTAGACCAAGATAATTTTTAATAAATGGTCTGAAAGCTTCAAATCTGTTGACTTAATTATCAAAATCCATGTTCCTGTTAAAAAACTCAGGAGAACATTTTGATTACGGGGATGACTTAATAGATAATTAGGTAAAGTGATTTGGCAGAAGCAGCATAGTCAAGGCTCTTTTGCAAGGAAACTTGGCTCCACAAAAGGCAAAACTCTTCTACCAACAGGAACTTGTGCATAGACCTTTTCTTCTCACAGCTCTTTTCCTTTCTGAAATAAAGGGTGCACGAAATTCTGAGCAGGCAAATTAACTAGACAAAGCACTTAGAAGCTGAATTTAAAGTGCCAATGGAGAC